CATGGGTTATATGCAAACGCTGTACCATTTTATGTAAGAGGCTTGAGCACCTGCAGATTGTGGTATCTGAGCAGAGATCCTGAAACCAATCACCCACGAATAGTGAAGGATGACTGTATCTAACTTTTATTTCTCAATTTTAAATATAAATCATAAAAAATTTACAATACCAAGATAAAAAACAAGAAGTGTTTTATAGTGTGAGAATACGTGTAGATTTATTTTTTTCTATGCGTAACCCTCGGGCCCATGTTATCTATGGAGAAGACATTCTATTCCTCCTTAAACCACACGGCAGCCTCTGTCAACTCTAACGGGGTTGTGTGTACACGGATGTATTTTAGACACTGTCTTCCGATAAGGGGCTCTCTGTGTTCACTCTCTTGAGAATGCTGCACATTATGTAGACTTACACAACCCCTTGAAATTTGGTAGCTGGAGTCCTCTACTTTTTTATTATAGGCTATTTGCTATGCTTTTTAAAATATTTCTTGAGGCGGAGTCTCACTCTGTCACCCAGGCTGGACTGCAGTGGCACGATCTCAGCTCACTGCAACTTCCACTTCCCAGCTTCAAGAGATTCTCCTGCCTCAGCCTCTTGAGTAGCTAACATTAGCTCACCACCAGGCACAGCTAATTTTTGTATTTTTAGCAGAGACATGGCTTCACTAAGTTGGCCAGGGAGGTCTCGAACTCCCGACCTCCGTTGATCCGCAAACTTCGGCTTCCCAAAGTCTTGGGGGACGCTTGATTTTCTATAGCATTATGTTACTGGATATTTCCATACAATTTAAAATGAGGGAGGCAGAGAGACAGAGAGAGAGCGAACCATGAGTTGGGGCTCTGGACTCTTGGGTCATGAGACAAATTGTAGATAAAATGACAAAAATCCAGAATTGACATGTTGTGGGTTTTGCTGATAAAGAACAGTTCTAAGATTGTAAATAATGGCATAATCCTTCCCTGGGTATTTAAATCATTTAAACTGGTTCTGCTGTCATACTAGAAATACAAGCATGAAACATCCTAATGGTTTATTCGTCACAATTGCTCTGACAACGTTCATAATACCTATTAGATATTTTGCATATTACACACAGAAAAGAGTTTGAAACACAGATAAAAACAATAAAAATACATAAAAAGTCTTTCACGTCAGCACAGATTTCAGTCACCTCGTGTCCGGGAGGTTGGATCTGAGACGTGTTTTGAGCTGGTCATAGTGAAGGACACAAGGTGTCAGTTCTAGTGAGAACAATTTCCAGGAAGCCATTTTCCACTCTTGAGTGAGCACCCGCTGCACCTCATGCAAGGTAGGAAGAGCCTGCGTACGTCACCTCCCATGATGTGGTCAGCACGTCAACTGCATGGGCAGGGCGCCAGATAACATCCTGTGCGCTGCTGAGCTGAGCTGGGGCGCGGCCGCCTGTCTGCACCGGCAGCACCATGTCGCTCATGGTCGTCAGCGTGGCGTGTGTTGGTGAGTCCTGGAAGGGAATCGGCAGAGGAAGCACTGGGGTGGTGATCTGGGCCTGGGGTGGAGATATGATCCTGGAGTGGAGATATGGGCCTGGAGTGGAGATATGGGCCTGGAGTGGAGATATGGACCTGGAGTGGGGATACAGGTCTGGAGTGGAGATACAGGTCTGGAGTGGAGATATGGGCCTGGAGTGGAGATATGGGCCTGGGGTACAGATATGGGCCTGGAGTGGAGATCTGGGCCTGGAGTGGATATCTGGGCCTGGAGTGGAGATATGGGCCTGGAGGGGAGATCTGGGCCTGGAGTGGAGATATGGTCCTGGAGGGGAGATCTGGGCCTGGAGTGGAGATATGGTCCTGGAGGGGAGATCTGGGCCTGGAGTGGAGATCTGGGCCTGGAGTGGAGATACGGGCCTGGAGTGGAGATACAGGTCTGGAGTGAAGATATGGGCCTGGAGGGGAGATCTGGGCCTGGAGTGGAGATATGGTCCTGGAGGGGAGATCTGGGCCTGGATTGGAGATATGGGCCTGGAGTGGAGATATGGGCCTGGAGTGGAGATCTGGGCCTGGAGTGGAGATATGGGCCTGGAGGGGAGATCTGGGCCTGGAGTGGAGATCTGGTCCTGGAGAGGAGATCTGGGCCTGGAGTGGAGATATGGGCCTGGAGAGGAGATATGGGCCTGGAGTGGAGATCTGGGCCTGGAGTGGAGATACGGGCCTGGAGTGGAGATATGGGCCTGGAGTGGAGATACAGGTCTGGAGTGGAGATCTGGGCCTGGGGTGGAGATATGGGCCTGGGGTAGAGATCTGGGCCTGGGGTGGAGATATGGGCGTGGCATGGACAGATGGGCCTGGAGTGGAGATCTAGGCCTGGAGTGGAGATATGGGCCCAGAGTGATGATATGGGCCTGGAGTGGAGATCTGGGCCTGGAGTGGAGATCTGGGCCTGGAGTGGAGATATGGGCCCGGAGTGGTGATATGGGCCTGGGGTAGAGATATGGGCCTGGAGTGGAAATCTGGGCCTGGGGTGGGGATATGGGCCTGCGATAGAGACATGGGCCTGGCATGGAGGGATGGGCCTGGGGTGGAGATCTGGGTCTGGAGTGGAAATTTTGGCCTGGAGTAGAGATATGGGCCTGGGGTGGAGATCTGGGTCTGGAGTGGAGATTTGGGTCTGGAGTGGAGATTTGGGTCTGGAATGGAGACATGGGCCTGGCATGGAGGGATGGGCCTGGAGTGGAGATATGGGCCTGGAGTGGAGATATGGGCCTGCAGTGGAGATATGGACCTGGAGTGGGGATACAGGTCTGGAGTGGAGATACAGGTCTGGAGTGGAGATACGGACCTGGAGTGGAGATATGGGCCTGGGGTAGAGATATGGGCCTGGAGTGGAGATTTGGGTCTGGAAAGGCGACATGGGCCTGGCATGGAGGGATGGGCCTGGAGTGGAGATATGGGCCTGGAGGGGAGATATGGGCCTGGAGTGGAGATATGGACCTGGAGTGGAGATCTGGGCCTGGAGTGGAGATCTGGGCCTGGGGTGGAGATATGGGCCTGGAGTGGAGATCTGGGTCTGGAGTGGAGACATGGGCCTGGTGTGGAGATATGGGCCTGGGGTGGAGATCTGGGTCTGGAGTGGAGATATGGGCCTGGAGTGGAGATATGGGCCTGGGGTAGAGATATGGGCCTGGAGTGGAGATCTGGGCCTGGGGTGGAGATATGGGCCTGGGGTGGAGATCTGGGTCTGGAGTGGAGATATGGGCCTGGGGTAGAGATCTGGGCCTGGAGTGGAGATATGGGCCTCGGGTGGAGATATGGGCCTGGAGTGGAGATATGGGTTTGGAGTGGAGATATGGGCCTCGGGTGGAGATATGGGCCTGGAGGGGAGATATGGGCCTGGAGCGGAGATATGGGCCTGGGGTGGAGATATCAGCGTGGAGTGGAAATATGGGCCTGTTGTGTAGATCTAGGCCTGGGGTGCAGATCTGGATCAGGAGGCTGGGTCTCTGGGCAGCTGAGATCCCTGCTGCGGGGGCAGGTAGGCAGCCAGGGTGAGTTTACCTTCAGCCCAGCAAGGGCCTGGCTGCCCAGACACATAGTCCCTCGGGGCAGCACGGGAGGCCCTGGTTTGCCTGCAGATGGATCATCCACCATGATCTTTCTTTCCAGGGTTCTTCTTGGTCGAGAGGGCCTGTCCATACACGGGTGAGTCCTTCCCCAAACCTTAGGGTCTCATCTCCCCCACCTAAGAGGATTTTCCTGAAACAGGAGGGAAGTCCTGTCAGAGAGTGTCTCATAAACTACGAAGGGGGGACCCTGGAGTGCTCGGCTCACACTTCTGACCTCGTCCTCTCTGGCCTTCTTACCCTTGGCTGAGTCAAGCTCTGTGAAGACCGGGGTGAGATTGGGGTGCTCCAAGCTGAGGTGTGCAGGGAGGAAGTGGTGTCAGCAGCTGAGGAAGGGAGGGAAGCAGTGCTAGGAACAGCAGGTCCTCTGAGGACAAAGGTGTAACTCACACCCTCCAGTGTTTCCATGACGGTCAGGGCTGCAGTGTGGCTGCTGTCATTCTACCAGAAGAGGTGGGGAAACCATAGCCATGACCCTGACATTCCAAATCTTCTGATGGGGGTTCAGTTCATGCACTGGCCTGATATTCCATTCACAAAGGACACGCCCTCCATGCCGTGTCTACTTTGTGTTGTTTTATGTGAGCAATCTTGCAGTATTAAAATCTAGTAAGAGTCCCTTATTCAGCACTTGCTCAAAGTTCTCAGCTGACACTTTTCTTGTAGGGGGACGCCATGTCCATGCTGCATAGGTACTTCCTGTAGCCCTGGACACCCAGGTGTGGTAGGAGCCTTAGAAACATGGAAAGGGGAAGAATCTTCTGAGCACAGGGAGGGAGGGGCGACTCCACATCCTCCTCTCTAAGGCAGTGCCTCCTTCTCCCCCAGGTGATCAGGACAAGCCCTTCCTGTCTGCCTGGCCCAGCCCTGTGGTGCCTCAGGGAGGACATGTGACTCTTCGGTGTCACTATCGTGGTGGGTTTAACAACTTCACTCTGTACAAAGACGACAGAAGCCACATTCCCATCTTCCACGGCAGAATATTCCAGCAGAGCTTCCTCATGGGCCCTGTGACCCCGGCACACGCAGGGACCTACAGATGTCGGGGTTCATACACGCACTCCCTCACTGAGTGGTCGACTCCCAGCAACCCTCTGGCGATCATGGTCACAGGTCAGAGGGCTCCTGTCTGGGCTTCTCCTTGTCCCACCTCCTGAATCCCAGAGCTTTTACTGGGGTTGTCCGTCAGGATCCCATCACCCAGGACATGACTGTCTTTGGGGTACAGGGGAATTGAATACAGGGAAATGGGTGCTGTGATGGGAAGAATAACTGTCCCCAATATGGCTACATTCTAATCCCTGGAGCGTGTGACTATTTATGTTATTGGGCAGGGAACTGAAGGGGAAGACGGAGCTCTGGTTGTTGATGAGTTGACCTTGAGATGGGGAGACGGCCTGGACTGTCCCACTGGGCTCAGTGGAATCACAAGGGTCCTCGTGACAGGAGGAGGAAAAGGAGAGTGGGGATTAGAGCAGCGTCGTGGGAGACTCCATCAGCCACTGTGGGCTTTGAAGGTGGAGGAAGGCCACGAGCCACAATGGCTGGTGGCCTCTACGGGCTGGAGAAGTCAAGAGAACCGCTCTGCTGAGTATCCAGAGGGAACACAGTCGTGTAGATGACTTGATTTTAGCCCAGGGAGAACTGGATCCAATTTCTGTCTCCAGAAGTAGAAGGGTCAGTGTGTTCTCTCCTGCTGCCATGTTTGGGATAATTTTCTGCAGCAGTAACAGGAAACCAACACAGGAACATGGTCAAAGACGAGTTAGGAAAACAAACAACGATAGCCGGGCATGGTGGTGGGCGCGAGTAAACCAATGACTGAATTCAATCGCTTGAATCCAGGAGGTAGAAGTTGCAGTGAGCCAAGACCACACCACTACACTCCAGCCTGGGTGAAAAAGTGACACTCTGTTTCAAAAATCAATTATTTAATCAATTAATTAAAGAAACCAAACAAGGAGAAGGTTGGAAACCCCGAGATTAGGAAGGGCGGGATGCTGATGCCACCACCAGGCTCCATCCACATAGAGAGGGGTTGATGCTCCTCGAACCAGCACCAGGAGCCACCCTGTGGAAGCTGAGGCCATGGAGAAGGCACAGGCATGGCAGGAGAGGCTCCCAATCCCCACCAGGAACAGGGAGTGTGGACACTGGTGCCTGCCTTACTGATCAGTTCATTCCTCCTGCCAGGGACTCCAGTTTATCCAAAAGAGATTGAACCAGGCTGTTAAGAGCCTGGACATGCAGCCTGCCATGGTTCCTCTT